TTCACATAAAAGTGATCACAATAAGCTTCAGGAGCTGGAGGGATCCCCAGCAGTACCTGTGAAATGGGAGAATGAAACGTTACAGAATCTGGGGCTGGTGCTGCTCACTGCAGCACAGCCAAAAACTGGGATGGGGGGATGGAGGGTTTGGGGCATGTGGAGGAGGAGGAGGAGGTGGCTCCACATTTCTTTGCAGTGAGGCCTCTCCCTTTTCCTGTGATGAAACTGCCACGAGCTCTGCCCAAAGAGGAGGACGGACTATTTAAGGCTGAGCAGCTCACCCAGCCCCGGCAGGAATTCTCCCGGGATGGGCAGGAATTCCCTCAGCATTTCAAAGGCCGGGTTCCGTGCGCTCTGCACGGCCCAGGTGTGCGTTGGCTGAAGCAGAGGCTGCGGGAGAATGTTTTCCTTTGGGAGTGTGGCAGCAGGAAGGGGCTGTGGATGAGCACATGCCAGCTCCTCTCAGCCCCCAGGAGCACCTTCCACACCCTCCCCACACTGTTGTGTTTGGGAGGAACCACTGAGGCTGCTGAGCACATTTGTGGGGTCACAACTGGACTGTTGTCCCCTTTCTGGTGCTTCACTGGGATCCTTTTCCATCCTTCCTGCTTCTGGTCAGGTCTTGTTGGAAAATTCAATTCTTGTATGTTGCTACACAGAGAAAAACTATGAAATATTTACCTGGAGAATATGACTCATTGTCATAATTATATGTTATAAAATAACTCCCATTATACGATCATCAGGCAGTTTTATTAACATCAGATAATCCCATAGGATTTCTCCACAGCAGAAAAGAAAGCCAGACCATGCAGTGTGACTGTGTTGGAGGGTGAACATCATTCTTTGTACTCTGCTCTTCATTCCAGTGAGCTTCAGCTGCCTGACACTTAGCATTAAGCTGTTCTCTTCCCCATTAAAATTTAAATTATGAGGAGCTTCTTCTTATCCAATAAAAAGCTAGATGTTTGAAAATGGAAAAATCTGATTTAGATCATTTGTAATGCATTAGAGCTCAATCATGTTTATTCTTTCAATAGTGGATTAACTGACAGTTCTAAGCAAAAAGTAATTCCTACCTTAACAATTCATAATTGTTCACTCTGTAGAGAGAGTACAATGTGTTTGGAATCTTTTGTCCCTCCCACTAACACAGCTGTGGGTGCCTGGCAGCAGTTCCATCCAGAAATATTGGAGGAAAAAAATGCTCAGTTCCAACAATTTCCCGTGAAAAATGTGATTTTCCAAAAATGTGTTTTTATAATTAGAAGTAACTCTATAAAAGACGGTGCCTCATTCTTCTCCAGGCATGGGGCTCCTCACCAGTGTGCTTGGGTTTGTTCCCACAACCCAAAACACACAGGATTGTTTTAGATCTCAGTGATATTCTGTGAAAATCATCTGCAAGTGGTGGCTTTGGCAGTGCTGGGTGAAGGGCTGGACTTGAGGATTTTAGAGGGATTTTCCAACCTAAATAATTCTGTGATTCCCTTATGCCAAAAACTATTTAGGCTCTATTTAAGCGATGGGTTTTAAAATATCTGTTTTGAAGTGAGAAAGTCCCCACCTCTCCTGAACTATTCCGCAAGACAGGGTGTAATCTTGGTGTCCACCCACACCCCAAGGTGTGTGGCCACAGGAATATCCCTGGAATCTCTCCTGTTGTGTCCAATGGTCCTAATGCAGCACGTTCACCCTCTGGTCACTTAAAGCTGGATTTGGCATGGACAGGTGACCTGGGGAAGGGCAGGAGAGTCCAGTGCAGCAAACATCCCTCCTTTAGGAAAAGCAGAATTCCTGCCTGCATTCTGCCTGATCTGTTACTCACTCACTGTTGCAGAGCCGAGCAGTGATGAAACATTAAAGAGCACCTTCAAAAGCTCCACCACCCAACAGAGCGATGGTGGTTGTGATAGGAGCAGCAATTAGGTGAGTCAGAGCTGGAGGAGACTTTCAGAGCACAAACCCTTTGGTTCGGAGCTGCTTCAGTGTGGGTGCAAACAGCCCCTGGCCCGGCTGTCTCTCTGGGGTCTCAGCTGCAAGACCCTCATTAGCAAAGGGTCATTACAGCACATTTACAACCCCTGAGGAGACCCTGCCTTTCACTGTGCTCCCACCTAACGACACAATGCAAAATACTCGGGTGCCGTTTGGAAAACAAACAGGTATTAGCAACGTGGTGAGCGAGTTTCAGTCTGGTGCCCATCCCACACACCCCCACACCTGGCAGAGCGGGAGGCAGGGGACACCTGCACCATCCCTGGAGCCAAAACCTGGTCACAGCAACCTCACTGAGAGCGTGAGCATTAAATCCGGGCGGATCTGGAGCAGGATGCCAGGGCTGGTGGCGCGTTCCGTGGTTGGGGCACTGCGGTGTCCGCAGCGCGTCCCGCAGACCCCGCTTCGCCCGGCTGGAGGGGAGAGCCGAGCCTCGGCAGCTCGCTGGGAGCCGAGTGCCCTCTAGAGAGCACCTGCAGCTCAGGGCCGGGATCATTCACGCTGCATCTCCAACAAATCTCCAAAAAGTCTCCAAATATCCCGTGTGCTGACAAGCAGAATGTGTCAGGATCCCTCGGCATGGTGGGCGAGGAGCGCTGCCCACCCCACTGCAGGGCAAGGGGGCTGGACAGGGCTGAAATTGCTGCAGATAGTGGATTAATGCATTTCAATATCATTTTAATCACATATTATTGTACTTCTGTTGGATAGGCTAACAGCAACTGCTTCTACTTAGGCAGAGTCAGGATTAGCTCTCCATTAATTTAGCGTCTCTGGGTCCCTTAGGAAAATGTAAGCTCTGTTTTTAAGCAGAGTTTCAGACTTGTTTTCACACCTGGGGCAGAGCAGGGACTGGACAGGCTGGGGACAGGGCAGGGCTCGGGACCAGGACACTGACAGGTCAGTGTTTCCTTGGGATCTGCCGGCTGGGAGCGGCTGACACCTGACGGGGAGAGCTGGGAAGTGCCAGGATTTCCCAGGCACTTTCTCCATTTCCTTGTTTTTCAGCACAAGAAGCATTTGCAGGCAGTCAGGATTACTAATTATTCCAGCTTCTCTTAAATTTTTATGTGACTTTAAATACAGAAATACAGTGTTAATGGCAAACCTGTGCTTCAGACTCACTCCAAACTGGACAGTTTTTGGACTGGCCAGTTTTGCCCTGTATTCTCAGGCATGCTCAATGTCTCTGTCCTCTGGGGAAAACAAATAAAATAAAACAAAACCAACCCAGTACAGGTATTTTAAATTTCTCTTTCCTCTGGGAAAAACAACCAAACCCAACCCAGTGTAAATATTTCCACAGGTTCTTCAGGTTGGTATTTCATTCTGTGCTGCAAGAGGGGCAGCGCCAATGGAGCAGAAGGTGAAAAGTCAGATGCCAGATTCCCAGGATTTTAGTTTCGATGAGCATCTGCCTCTCGCTCACGGAGGATCTGATTCACGCCGCTCTGCTGGGAGGAGCGAGCAGCAGCTCCGGGTTGTTCAGGGTTTTGGGCAGGGAGAAATTCGAGTGTGGGAGGAGCAGGGGAGACCTGGCCCGGCCCAAGGCGCAGCGCTGCCGGCAGGATCCGCGGCTCGGGATGAGCATCTCTGCTCGTGCCCGTCCCCGCCGCCAGGGATCACCCTTGTCCCTTCTCCGCTTCCTCACTGCCAACATTCCGCCCTCCCTCTGCCGCTTCTCTGCTCCAGGTTTATTGCATTTCTGCCAGAGCAGACGTAGAAATTCTCCTTTGCACGCGTGTGGCACAGTCAGGAGCGGGACTTGGGGAAATTAATTTGCCTCTATGTTTCAAATGGTTTTTAATTTCTCAAACGAAGGAGTCCAAAATATTCCATAGGTGTGAGGAATCTTTGTACGGTACAAAAACGCCTTCCAGGCCATCAGCTCTTTCCGTCCTGCGGGTGTCTCTGCACAGCTGTGGATGTCCAAGCACCCCCGGCTGCCTGAAGAGCAGAGGAGCTGAGGACATCTGACATCCCCTGCCCTGCTGACAGGGCACTGTCCTCGCAGGGTCCCTCCCTGGCAGTGGTTGGACACTGAGGTTCACAAGGTTGTTTATTGTCTCTTATCTAAAGTATTTGTTCTCAGACCCGCAGAGGTCTGATCTGCAGGTCTGTCAAGGGCACACTGCCCGCCCCTGGGCTGGTGTTGTCTTTTTATACTAAAATCTATGTGTACTTTATTTGCAGTTATTTTCCAATACCTATTGCCTATGTCAGACTGTCTCCTTCTACTCTAAACCAATCTAAAAACACCACCATCACCAAGAAGATGGAGGTTAGGAAGAAGAAAGAAGGAGGACAGGGAACACCCAACTTCCTCCATCTTGGGACTCCAAACCCCCATTCTAAAAATCCCAAAATTCTACTTTTCACCCTGTGACAACTACTATTATGCTACTTAAACTTTTGTGACTTGTAATTCTTCATACAAAGTTGGTAATTTGCTCCATGGGTTAAGATCCAAATCCCAAGTGTCTTTGGCTACCTGCCAGGGTCTCCAAGCCCCTGCCAGGATCTTGAGCCATTCAGGGCACCCAGAGAGATGTCCTGGGTTCTGACACACCAGCACATCTCCCAGTTTAATGTCTGCCACATCTGGAGAGCAGCTGGAGATGTGCACCAGAGGTGGCTGCTCAGGTGGTACCTGTGTGTGGATACACACCTGCCTGAGCCTTGGAAATTTCTGCCACTGTTCTTTCACTGATGAGCTCCAGCTCTGCTGGCCTGTCTGACTCCTCCTGTGCCACCCAGGAATGGGCAACATCTGCCTCAGGCTGTGACAGCAGGGAGCAGCTGGACAAGACCTGCCAGGTCAGCAGGGCCACTCTCTCCTGCTGGCAAAGCAGCTTTGTTGCCAGTGCAGGATGATCCTGACCAGTTTAGGTGCCCCTTGCTCATGGATCAGCAGCTGGTGCTGGAAAGGAACTCAGTTTCAGACACAGGTTCTTGATTGCATTAGGCAGAAGCAAAGTTTTATTAGAGACATTTTTCACCAGCAGGTGCATAAGTGACCTGACTAACTCAGGTAACTTCTAGAGGTTACAGCGTTGCAGAACAGAAGAGCAGAACAGAGGAGGTGGCTTCCACACCCCCTTTAGCTACGTGGCCAAGCATCACTGAGTTACTTCTACTTTCTCTGCACAGAGGGTGCAGTGAACAGGGACTCTTCTTGGGTTGTCTCTGGGTTTCCCTGTCACCTTCCAGTCCATTTCTGCTTAATCACAAATTCTCCTGCAGGTCACTGGAGAGAAAACACAGAAGTGTTATTTGATTGGAACAGAAGTAAAATCTTTCACATAACAGATATCAGATCCTGGTGGTGCCCATGTTTCTGGAATATACTGCTAAGCTGGTGCACCTGACAGCAACCCAGGAAGCCCCAGAAATTCCCTAAATAATTTGCTTTAATGGGAATTTTCACTTATAAAATTATAGGTTTACTCTTTTATTTACTCTTTCCAGACTCTTCTGCTAAGCTTTGGCTGTTTTCTTCACTTCTTCCAGTTCTTCCTGTCATGCTTTATCTCCCTGGCCTTCTCCTCTGCATTCTACTGCTCCTTTCTGTCTCCTATTTGCTTCCTCTACCCCGTGTTCAGTCCAAGCTCTCTTCAAACCCATTTCTCAGTGACACCACCACTGTATCAGAGCCCCCCCTGTAGCACAGTGACCCTGAGAGGATGCCTATGACACGTCCTAGGAACGTGCTGTCTCCTGTGCCTGAGGAAATGAACAAAGCCAGTTTTCCTTTTGGGAAAACTCAGCCCTTACCTTGTATGTCTCCAGTCTTGCAGGGTGGGACCTGGGCCTGGCAGTGGGCACCTGAAGTTGTTGTGTAGGTGTGGCTCGTCCTAATGACCCCTCCACCAGTTCCAATTCCTCCTCCGTGACTAGTGGGATAAATTTGGTGAGAGAAATAGGGAATTTTAGAACTTTACATGTCACTGCTACAGACACAAAGTGTCACACTGTGGCCTTTATAAGTGTTACAGTATTTTACATTAAATTTTCTTTCACTTAAAGAGTTGCTTTACATTTGTGCTCCCCCTCAGCATGGACAGTTCTCACCCATCTCACTATAAAAAAGGGACTGTCACAAATGCTGCTATAATGCCAGGAGTGACAATGTTGTCACCAGCAGCTTTGGTGTTCTACTTTGCAGATCCCGAGGACTGACATTTAGTTTGGATTGGAATGTTCATCGCAAGGAAATTGTTCATGAGGCAAATTTTCATCTCAGAGAAAGCCTTAAGAAGAACTGAAGATCAGCTTGGATACACAATCTGTAATGCAGACCCCTGACATTTTCATTTATTCTCTCGTGGATCTGGAGAGGTACTTACATGAGGTCCTGCTGTCCTCCTTCCAACAAGCACCGGTAGGTCTGGATCTCCTGCTCCAGGCGGCACTTGACGTCCAGTAAGGTCTTGTACTCTTGGTTCTGGCACTCTATTTCTGCTCTTATTTCAGCCAACTGCTGCTCCACACACGTGATCTGGTTCTGTAGCTCACTGAGGAGACTGTTGTACTGGCACTCCGTTTCAGCCAGAGATGATTCCAAGTTATTTCTCTGATAAGATAAGCAAAAAAACCCCAATCATTTTAGTGTCACCCTCCAGTCCAAAAACGAACGAGCCATTCACCACCATTGTGCTGGCTGGTGGGTCTGGCTGTTCATGCTAAGGAACCCAGCAGTGACCAGCTGGAGCTGTGAGTCAGCTCCTCACCCACCTGGCATTTTAGTTAAATGCTAGGCTCTGTCTCACCCCTCCAAAATGTACAGTTTATTCCAAGCTGTGTTCCTGCCCTGAACTCTCATGTATCTGTAACCCCACTGGCCCAAGTCTTATTCCGTGCCCACTTTGAATCTCCCTCTTAAGCAGTGTGAGGTGGACCAGACTCTCTCTTGGCCCTTCTCTCCCCCTCCCTCCCCCTTCTCCCCTTCTCGCTCAATAACCACGCTGCTCCTGGGGTGGGACCCCCAAAAAACCCTCACCTAATCAGCACCCTCAGAAGCCGTGTGGAGTCTCCTTGCCTGCCTGCTGCTACCAGCCAACACACAGCTTGGGGAGCCCTCCTGGGATCCCCAGGGAGCCCCCTCAAACCAACCGCAACACTCCATGATGCTCGTAGGGAAGAGGGCAGGACCTACCTCCTCGTGGTTCTTCTTCAGGCAGCAGAGCTCCTCCCGCAGCGACTCCAGCTGTGCCTCCAGGTCAGACCTGCACAGCGTCAGCTGGTCCAGCACCTGGCGCAGCCCGTTGATGTCGGCCTCCACGCTCTGGCGCAGCGCCAGCTCCGTCTCGTACCTGGGTTGTGTGAAAAGCACAGATTCAGGATGGGGACGTGCCACACGGCTCCTGTTTGTGCCAGGATCTCCCTCCCCAGCTCCGTGCTTTGACCTGCGTTTTGCTGGATTTCTGCATGCCTTGGATTTCTGCGCCGTTTCATGTCTACATGAAAGCTTTTCTTTCTCAGTTTTTTTCCCTGCTCCTGCTCACTGTATATTTGGTATCACTTACTCAGCTGTATTTCTGCTTTGTTGATCTCGTCTCTGCTGGTCTGGGGTGAAAATGGGCCACTCCCTGAGCTGCCTGTCCCCAGCCTCACCACAAACGCCGTTGCTAAATGTTTTACCCAAGAACACTAATTAAGGTAGGGCTGGTGACCAGGAGCAAAATGCCTTTCATCATCCTGCCCTGCCAAAGTGGTGTGGAGAGACGTGTCTGGAGCCTCTGTAATTAGTGCTCTGAGCCTCCCAGGGAGGGGGGAGGCAGCAGGTTGATAGAGGGGCACTCACTTCACACGGAAGTCATCAGCAGCCATCCTGCTGTTATCAATGTCCAGGATGATCTTGTTGTTGTCAATGGTTGCGCAGACAATCTGGAAAACAGCAAACCATGAGAGATGTCTCCTCTCTCCTGTTTTATCTATAGGTTTTTCTGCCTGGCAGTTAGGTAGGAGCTCTTCACATTTCCCTTTTTCTGTTACCTTCTTACCTAAGTAACCTTGTCCCTTAAGCAGAGAAGTTGAAGGAGGTGGCTATGCCTCCTTTACTCACAGAAGAAAGGAGATCAACCACATTGAGCTGGGAATTAAAGAGTTGTGGGATGGGACTTCCCAGTTTCAAGATCTGAAGGCAAGTTCCAAAGATGCTTCAAAAAATAAACCTAAAGAACTTTCCTTAAGAGAGTAAATCTCAACTGACATTCAAGCTGACACGTTCTGGGCTTCAGATTTAAGGACCTTCAGGGAACATGGTGGGAAGGTGTTTTTAAGCCTTAGGATCAGCCATAACTTTCATTGTGGACTTACTAATATCAGGCTGTTTGTGTCACTGTGACAATCAGTTTCAATTCTCAGCTTTCTCACCTAGAGATTTATAATGTTTCATTTGATAAAGCATCCAAAGTGTATGTTTTAGGTTGTCCCATAGTTTGCTTTGCTCTCCCTGTGGGGCTGACACCACTACATATCCTCAGAGTACATTGGTAATATTACATTGGTAATATTACATTTACAATTGTATAGTCAAATACAATGTACCAAAGCATCCTTTTCCTCTTTCAGAGCATTCTCCCACCCATACCACCTTGCAGCACCCACACTCAGCAATATCATTGAGGAATTTGCCAAAATTTCTGTTTGCAAAGACATTCACAAGCACCAAAGTTCCCTCCAACAACTGCAGTAAGTTCTAAACACAAACTCAGGAATAGGCTTTCAGAAGGGGAGGAACACCCCGAGGGGGGATTACCTGGTTCTGAAGGTCTTCAATCTCTTTGTAGTAGCAGCTGTAGTCGCGGGGCTCGCAGGACAGGCCCTGTGTTGCGTACCACTCTCTGATCCTGCACTCCAGCTCAGCATTCTCCTTCTCCAAGCACTTCACCTTGTCCAGGTAGGAGGCCAGGCGGTCATTGAGGTTTTGCATGGTGACCTTCTCATCGCAGGATGAAAGCAAGCAGTCGCCACCGAGACCCCCAACAACCACACCACCTCCGATGCCAAACCCGAGGCCATTGCCATAGCAGTTGCCACCTCCATAGCTCCCACCAGCCAAGCTACCAACGCTCAGTCCCCCTCCATAATTCACTCCACCGCAGTAGCTCCTTCCAGAAAAACCTCTGCCACTGCCTATGCCAAAGGAAGAAATCCGTGCTCCACCACCACCACCAATGATGCAGCTGCCACCGCTGCTCCTGCCTTTGCTAGACACAGTAATAGTCTCCTTAATGTTGCAACTCATGGCGACAGCGGTTGGAAATGCAAGCAGAAGCCCAAAGCAAGATGCACAGCTTGATACGAAATCAGACTGCAGGCTGGCCGTGGCCGCCCATCCCTATTTATACCTTCCACAGTGGGTGTCACCACTGCTTCTTCTTCCCATGAGGCTGGCTACCCCAGCCATTGGTGCCAAGAATAATTTCTCAAAGGGAAGTTTCCTTTCAAGAAGCCTGGTAGACAAGGAAGATACTTTACATGTCTCTTGCTAATTTCAAAAATACATTAGCAATAATGTTTTATGAATCATCAGCTTTTTGTTTATGATGCAAACTTACAGCATTAAGCCAGGAAAAACACTGTCCTAAATTACATACCAGGAAGAAATCATTAAAGGTTATTGCATCAAAGAGGTCTTTATCTCTCATTAATTTATTTTCATTTTATTTTGAGTTGAATAAGCAGTTTTGATGCAAGGTGCTGAGGTTGGAATATGTAAGATGAAACAGAAAGAAGAAATACCAAGTTTGCTTTTTGAGTGATGTATGAAGAATGATGTAAGAACTCTGGAAAGATCAGAGACACAGAGATTAACCTTTAAATCTCTCCACTGCCAAAATGACAAATCTGAAACACTGCTGTGAGACAAGTGAGACCAAGGAGGGATCTCGTAATGGGCACGGATGAAAGGTTCTTCATACATGATTGTGGCTCTCCAGTAATCCACAAAGGATTTGTTTCATTATGTGGAGAGTGTAAAGGAAGGTAAAAGTGCTTTAAGTATTTCCTGTTGTTCAGTGAAAGATAATTTCTGCACTTCTCCTCATTATGGATTGTAATTGTTGCTGGGAAAGGGTGGTTTTGAAACAGTGGATGGATGTAGAAACATCCTATGGCCGATTTCTTTGTCAATACATGCTGCATTTTAATCAGAGCTTTGAGATTGCTGTCCTGGGACATATAAAGACAGAATTCCTGACAGAGCTGCAGAGCAGTCACTGCCCTGTGCAGTTCTACCTGGGCTGGAGAAGCTGGATTTGCTACAAACTAGAGGCTCTCTATCAGTAACGTTTCTAAATCTTAATTAAGCACAGAAAATAAAAAGTAAGAAATCCTTTCACACTTTTGTAATCAAAATTCATGAGATGTTTTGGTGAGGCTCCAGAGCACTGGCCTTCTCCCTAGGGAGGCCCTTTCCAGTGGCCAGGGAGCAAGGGACAGGCATTCCATGGCTTTCTGAACCCAAATGGTCCTTGTAAGAAATTCTCCAAACCTCCTTCACCAGGGAAAAGTGAGTTCAAACTCTTGCTGAAATCCTCACTCAGTGTCAGGACTGTGGATTGGAACAGCTATTGTTATGGCAGGTAAATGATCCCTTTACTTAAGGACTGATTTATCCCAGTATTCATGGATTTACCCATCACTTTATTACTCTTATTTCTGTTGGAAAGATGCCTCCCCTTTTCTTTGCCTCCTTGGATGTTCCTTATCCTTGCCATGAAAGGCAGAATCATTCCAGTGATCTCTCCAGCAGGTGTGGAGAGGCTTCCCAAAGTGATTTACTCCAAGCGGGCCAAGCTGCCGCTGGACCCTGCCTGACACACTGGGCCTCCCTCTGGCCCAAAACACACAGAAATGAAGCTCAGAATGGGTAAAAGCTCAAACAAAGTTATTGTGCAGAGGAAGGAATCGCCGGATTTCATTGCTAGGACTGGAGAACATAATTGGGAGTCAGGGCGTGGTGGCAGGAGAGAACCGAAACTGCTGTAAGCTGCGTCCTGGAAGCTTCGCCCGCTCTGCGGATGATTCCTCAGGAATTTCCCAACAGCTGCGTGCAGCAAGCATCTCCTGAGTGAGCACACATTCCTTCCCCAGCCCCGCAGTTATCACACGGGCACATCAGTGTGGCTCAGGCAGAAACACGGCATGAGTTGTACTCGTGGGAGGGGAGGTGTCTGCAGGCTGGGGACGCTCCTGCTCCTCGCAGACACCTCGGTCCCCTCTGCCCCCCACAGCTCGGTGTGCCTGCAGCAACCCCCTGTGCCCAGGGGCTTTGCTCTGCACACACACTGCCCTCTCTCTTGTTATTTTTCCTGTTTGTCTCCAGGAAATGAGGGCACTAGATAAACTAAGACAAAACTAAGTAATTGTTCCGAGACCTTAAAAAATTAAATTAAGCTTTCCCTCGTGTTTTCATTCAGTTATTTGAACTCATGAGCTTCCTGGGTCTGTCTCATCAACACAAAGAAATAGGGAAATCTTATGGAAATGTGGCTTCCAACGTTTGCAGCTCCATAATTTGCAGCTCTTTAATAAATGAAGTGTTTTCAGGGTGTTTTCTTCTGGGGAACTGTTAATCACAACCTGCCTCTCCTGAGCTGCCTTCCAGACTCATCCCAACCTGTAGGTCCACAAACAACATCAGAGCGTCCCAGAAGCTGAGGCTGTACCCTCCAGGGGCTTTCCAGAGGCATATTCATAATTTCTGGATCATTAGAGTCTCTTTCTGGCCATGTCATTAGCTCTCTTTCACCTCTCAGGAATTCAGGACAGCTCCTTTATGAAAGTGCATGCTTTGGACCTGCGGGATGTGGTGGAAAGGGTGGGAAGGTCTTTGATACGAGCCCAGGGAATCTGGAGGAGCAGCTAGATGTCAGCAGCAGTTCACAAGAGGAGGAACCAGCCCAAGCTGGTGGGAATCAGCTGGGGCTGCCAGGACAGACTGGGAAGCTTTTACCTGCCATAGGTAGCCAAGAGTTTCCAGAAGACTGGAAACTGGAAGAGTCTCAGTGGAGTGTTTTTATAGTTCTAGAAACAAGAGTGTGAGGGCTCGGACTGGGGAGGATTGAGGCCAAAAAGGGCAGCAGTGGGTTATCTCCCTGCCTGTCTTTGCACTGAACAAGGCAGGAGGAGACAATGGGAATGGAAGGGGAAAGAGTTGCTTTTCAATTTCTCAGCCAGAGCTCTGAGAACCACTGGGATATCCACTTGGGTCCAACACAAGGAAGTTTGCCATTATAGACACAATTTGTATCTCTTCTGATCTCTTGTGAAGCACTGGCCATACATGTTTACTGGAAGGAGTCTTCATCAAGTCTGGGGCTTCCTGTAGGGCTGGAGCTAAACTTTAAATAAGGCTTAATTTAGTCTTGGTTTAAAAACTTCTACCTTTGGCCACTCCTCTGAGTCGTTGCAGGTGTTCCAGTGCTGCATTATCTTGTCTTGCTCATGGATACTGCTAGTGTCTGGTAGATGAAATAAAGAAATATCACTGAAACATCTTCTCTCTATGGCCTCTCACAAGGAGAGGGGCACCTTTCACCTGCTCCCTGAGACATTAGTGGTTGAACTTCTTCAGGCACTTGCTACCATGTTAAGTAAATTTCTGTTTCATCAGAGAAATCGGTGTTTTTATAAAAGAACTGGCAATAGAAAAGTGTGCCACACTATACTGTATGTCCAGTCCTGAAGTGGTTTTATCTTTGTACCTGCTCTCCTGTCCTGAGTGTGGCTGTTCCACAACCTCCAGCCTTTGATGGAAAAGGAATAAGCAGGAGTTCTGCTTTACTGGGTCATCTCACAGGTGAATGTGACCTTGTAACAGCCACACCACTACCAAAACCACCACTGCTTGGCTCTCTGGACCAGCAATTTAATCCTCAAAACACCCTCATAATACTTTGAACTGCCAGTTGTCCAAACCCAGAGTGACTCTGCCAGCTCACCATGGCCCACGGCTGCTCTGGCAGGTCAGGGCCAGGACAAAACCAGCTCAGCACCAGCTACACAGCTGCTGGTCAAGGCCAGGCAGGGACTGATCTGCCTGCTCTGTGACAGCTGGGTGGCTCTGGGTGTCCAAAGGCCCTACCTGGCTTTTTTCTCAATTCTATTATCTGATAAGCTGCACTTTTCCAGTTCCCACTCTGCTCTCTGCAGAGCTCCCCAGACAAGGTGTGTTTAACTCAAAGATGATCTTTCAACCACTCTTGATATTCAGGTTGAAACTCTTGGCAATCAGAGGATGACCAGTAAATGACTCAGTCACTGTGTGAAGAGAGGAGATAAAGTTTTGCCTCCAGACCTTTTCCCAATGTGAAGATTCCCATGGAATGAAAGGGATAGGTTTGAATATGAGCTGTGTCAGCAGAAATTGAATCAGTTGTGGAGACCAAGATTTCATCCTCAACAGTCATGCTCCATGAGCATGAGAAGGCTCAGCCCAGATCCATCAGCACTAGACTGGGGCCCAGGCAAAGTGTCTCTAGATGTTCCACCACTGACTTTCAAAATTCTTCTAAAACTGTGTTTCAGCCCAATGCTGTGTGGGGAGGACAGAGCCTGCCTGAGCTGTCTGTCCATGGGGGCAGGTGTCACCCAGGAATGGGCAACATCTGCCTCAGGCTGTGACAGCAGGGAGCAGCTGGACAAGACCTGCCAGGTCAGCAGGGCCACTCTCTCCTGCTGGCAAAGCAGCTTTGTTGCCAGTGCAGGATGATCCTGACCAGTTTAGGTGCCCCTTGCTCATGGATCAGCAGCTGGTGCTGGAAAGGAACTCAGTTTCAGACACAGGTTCTTGATTGCATTAGGCAGAAGCAAAGTTTTATTAGAGACATTTTTCACCAGCAGGTACATAAGTGATCATAGCCCTGGCTGACTACAGCAATAGTCTTGGTGCTGGGCCACACACAGCAACACAGACTGAAAAGCAAATAGCAAAATAAAGCAGAATGTGGCTCAATGCTCTGCTCATCCCTCTGACACATTGCTTAGCATGGCTGAGCAACAGACGAGCACGCTCCGTGCCCTCTGCAGACACATGCACTAAATATTCTCTCTCTTCATCTGTAGCTCTGCTTCAGGCTTCTCTTGTTGGATATTCTCGTTTCTCTGCTTAATCACAAATTCTTCGGCAAGGCACTGGAGAGATCAAAGCAAACATTACCGTGTTTATAGCAAAAATAGATTCTTTCCCACACTGTCATTCCCTACACGTGATCGTTTCACAAGCCAATTCAATTAGAATTT